CCGGCGGGGGCTCCTTATGCCGAAACCACACACACAGGGGCTCCCGCTTACTCCGAGTCTGCCCAAACGCGAGCTGGGTCGTCGGGCTCGGAGGCCCCGGGGGACTTCAGGAGTGTACTATCGCTTGTTCATGCTCTTCAACGGAGTAACGAGGTAATGTTTCCCGAGGAAGGTGCGGCGTGGATCGAGCTCCCTCTGCACCAAGTGGCCTGCCGTGCCGTTACTCATGCTAGGGTGGTAAGTGCTCCCTTCTTTCAAGTTCTTCGGCCTTTATTCTTCAATTCGTTACTTTGATCCCGTTTCCCTTTGATAGGTGAACTCTTCTATTCATGCCTTAGCGAACCAGGTGGAAAGATGCTCGAGGCAAGCGCGAGCTGCCGAGGAGGCTGCTCGTGCTGCTGAAGCTGCTGCACGCCTCGCGCGGTCTAGGCAGGCGAGGTCTCAGAGAGATGCCGAGGCCATGGGAGTGGTGGTGAAGCATATGGCGGAATTGAAGCTGGACCTGCAGCACCAGGTCGAGTATCTTCAGGAGGATATCAGGGAGAGGACTCAGATCTTCTCTCAARGCATCGAAGACGCGAAGAAGAAAGCTGTCAGTGATTATATTGCTTTCGCCGGATTTCGATGATCTGATGATGGACTCCTACAAGAGGGGTTTCAAGCTAAGCTGGTGGATGATCCGGAATACGTACCCCAAGCTCGATACCAGCGCCATATCCACTTCGCGCATTACTCAAGAGATGGCTAATGCTGCGGATGCCGAACCGGACTCCGAGGGGGAGGCAGGTCCTTCGGGTGTTGTCAAAGTGGCTTCTAATAATGATGAAGTAGCCCCTGGCTTGTAAAATGACTTTTTTTTTGAATGTACACCTCTATCTGAAATGAAATGGCTTTTTGTTCAAGTGCTGGTTGTCCTGTATTCGAGCTGCGTTTTTTGCCGAACTGACCATTTCGGTCCTTCAGTTCATTTTCTACCTAGGCTTCAGGGTACTTGCCTTGGCGGTTTAAAGGTAGTATCTTCTTAATTTGACGACGTTCCATGCTCGGGGTACTTGTTTTCCTTCTAGGGTTCCGAGCTCGTATGCTCCCCCACCGAGTGCTTTCTTTACTCTGTAGGGTCCTTCCCAGTTTGGACCAAGTTTCCCTACGCCGGGTTCAGGCACCATGACCTTACGGAGAACCAGGTTGCCGACGCGGAAGTTCCTCTTCTTTACTCGAGCGTTATAATACCGAGCTACCTTTTGTTGGTAGGTCGCAGTTCGGATGTGCGTGATGTCTCTCACTTCGTCCAGTAGGTCGAGGTTGGTGATAACTCGCCCTAGTTTGTTTGTTCGTCGTACGCTTCTAGTCGCAACGTTGGCACTTCGATTTCTGTAGGGATCACCGCCTCGGTGCCGTAGGTGAGGTTGAACGGGGTCTCTCCTGTGGCAGTTT